TTGTGTTTGCTCTAATAGGTGCCATTGCTCTATCAGTGAAAAAGAAGAATAAAGCAATTCCCTCTGTATCTACCTACATACCCCAAGCTCCATTAATATAACCACCAGAAAAGCTTTCTGAGCAAACCAATCTCACAGGATTTATACACTAAGTGAACCATGGTGACACGTGCCTCCCCTAGTTCCGCAGACCTGTCTGGGAGGCAGTTCAGGGGCTACAGCTTACACCGTTTCCTTTATATGAGGTGGTTCACACCCAACAGTAGGAAAGTGAGACGATAATGAAGACCTTTCTGCATGGCAGCAAAGGTGAAGCAGAGGGAACCAGGCAATCTCTGGAGAAAGTTGGGCAATGGAGAAAAAGCAGCCTGGACAATTCAGGGTAAAAATCCTCTCCTTTGTTGATCATCTTAACTCTTTGTTCTGTCTTGATCTGCCTGTTTTGTTCTTTGTCAGTTTGTCTGATGCTATCTCAATTAATATTAACTACAAAGGATAGCAGAAAAAAATGTATACACATTTTAAATTTTAAGAAAAAAAAAACTGTATTCAATAAGATGAACAGAAGTCATCTTTGACTTCTGCAATTACAAGAGGTACTCAAAGTGGTTACCATCAGCATTCAGACACTTCTGAGTACAGCAAACACCTCTTAACATTGTTTAAAATGTGAATACATTTTTTGGCACCCCCAGTTGACGCATATCTGATTTATTTAAGTGCTTGCTGTGTGCAAGGGACTGTGCTAAGTGCATTATGGGCACAATCTCACACCACTCTATGAGGGAGATACTTTTATTACTCCATTTCAGAAATTAGAAGTTCGGGGCTCATGGAGATGATATAACTTGCCTAAGATCTCAAGGCTAATGTCCCAGTCTGGATCTGACTCAGAGTCAGAGTGCAGTTCACAAAATGACCACTTTTCTTCTGCTATAAGATGATCTCACCCTCCATGTTTCTTTCTTGCTCTTTGCACCTATAATCACACTCTCTCTATAATTACTCTCTTCCCCTGTGGTTAATAAATGTATGGTGTCCCCAGCATGAAATATACACTGGTCAGATGCCTGACCAATCATATTTCTGACTGGAGCTGAGTTCAGAGAGCCATGTTTTTATCAGGAGGTTAACTGAAATATGTGTAGAGACAAGTAAAGAGAAAAGTACAGGGAAAGATGGAGGGATGGGTGAAATACTTCAAGATGCTCAGCCTTCAGAAAGGAAGACAAAGAGACAGTCTTTTTTTTTTTTTAGTTGGAGTCTCACTCCATTGCCCAGGTTGAAGTCACTCACGGCCACCCAGCATTGACCTGCTGGGCTCAGATGATCCTTCTGCCTCAGCCTTCCAAGTAGCTGGGACTACAGGTGCACCCTATCACCCCTGGCTAATTTTTTATTTATTGGTGAGACAAGGTCTCGCCAAGTTGCCCAGGCTGGTCTCGAACCCGTGGGCTCAATCAATCCCCTCACCTCAACCTCCCAAAGCGCTGGGATTACAGGGTTGAGCCACTGCACCCAGCCAGAGATAGTCTTAAATTATAAAAATCACAGGTTGTGAGAAATAGAAACTCAATGCCATTTTACAGACGAGAAAATCGATATCCAGAGATGACTGGAGTCAGGATTCCAAGATTTCTGACCACCTTAACCTTTCCTCTCTCTCTCAACCTTACTTCTGCGCCAAGTATCCCCACCCTCAGGTGTGGCTTCAGAGACTATCCAAAATGTTTGAGACCAGAAGTGCTTCTGATTTTAGATTTTGAAATATTTGTATTATACTTACTGTTGAGCATCCCATATCTGAAAATCTAAAAATCCAAAATGCTCTAATGAGCATTCCCTTTGAGCATTATATTGGTATGTGAAACATTTCCAATTTAGGAATATTTCAGATTTCATATTTTTTTTATTTGGGATATTCAGGCCATACAACCAACAGTGTGCAATGTGGCATGCATTCCCTTGGATAATTTTTTTTTTAATAAAAAATAAAACTGGCTGTGTGCAGTGGTTCACATTTGTAATCCCAGCACTTTGGGAAGCCAAAGCAGGAGGATCACTTGAGCCCAGAAGTTTGAGACCAGCCTGGGCAATATAGCTAGACCCTGTCTCTATAAAAAACAAAAAAAAACTTAAATTAACTGGGCATGGTGGTATGTGCCTGTACTCCAAGTTACTTGGGAGGCTGAGGTAGGAGGATTCCTTGAGTTCAGGAGTTCGAGGCTGCAGTGAGCCATGATTGTGCCACTGTACTCCAGCCTGGACGACAGAACACTACCTTGTCTCTAACAAAATAAAAACATTAAAGAAATGTCTTCATCAGAATAAAGCATATAGAACACGTTGTATTCCCTTTCAAGAGTTTGTCTTGGCCAGGCTCGGTGGCTCAGCCTGTAATCCCATGCTTTGGGAGGCCGAGGTGAGTGAATTGCCTGAGCCCGCCTGTTTGAGACCCACCTGGGCAACTTGGTGAGATCTCATCTCTACAATAAATCAAAAAAATGAGCTGGGCGTAGTAGCGTGCGCCTGTAGTTCCAGCTACTTGGAAGGCCGAGGTGGAAGGATCACTGGAGCTCAGCCGGTCAAGGCTGCGATGGCCGAGAGCGTGCCACTGCACTCCAGTCTGAGTGACAGAGTGAGACTTCAACTCAAAAAAGAAAGAGAGCTTGCCTTAGTAATAAAGTGACCATGGGCAGGGCCCTGAGAAAGCTTTGCTCCCTGGGGCCACTCACTATCTCCACCTGGTCCCATCACTCAACACTCCCAGCATGAATGTCTCCACAAGGAACAAATACAGGTTAAAAATAAGGCCTAAGAGCCTGCCCCCTCCTTGCTTAGGAAATCTGAACCCTCGGGTGATGCCATTCTTACCAAATATGCTTCCTGATTACTTCCAGAAGGCAGGGCAGGCTGATCATGCTTTCTCCTGTGGTGAAGAGGGTAAAACAATTCTCTCCATGGAGGCCGTGGGCTTGTGGTGGGGGGCTCCACACTGCCAGTCCAACAAATCAGTGCCTGGTGGTTTCGCTGTCTCTGGTTTCACTGGAGTCAAGGTCTCCTCCCTCCACCCTCACTGCCTCCATGTCTGCCCTGGATTTTATCTCCTGTATCCTCCTCCCTCTCTCTACATTTTTTTCCCCAAATGTCAAGAGAACTTGACTTTTCCCTCTTTACTTTTAAAAAGGAGAGAAACTATAGCATTTCTTCCAAGTTTCAGGCACTGCTCTTCATAATCCTGCAACCTGGAGTTGCCATTTCACGCCTGTTCTGCTCAATGCTTGACATACACTAAATTTAGAGGAATATGACACCAGAGCTCACTGAAGTCTCCTTCACTGGCAGTGGGCTTGGCTATGGTTCATCTCCGTTCCTAATCTGTCTGGGCATTTTGCTCACTCAGTAGGTACTTTAGAAAAAAACAAAAAAGAAAAGTCACAGTCCATCCTGACTTCTACCTGCCCTCCCTTCTTTGCCCCAAGCCCTGCTGTTTCAAGCCCTCCCACCCCAGCTCAACACAAAAATGAGATTTATAAGAAAATATTCCTGAGCCATCTCTTAGAATAAGAAATTCTGCTGCCATTCATATCGCAGTCTCCTCCTCTGATTACAAAATTGTGGAGAAACCAAAAAATTCTGGCTGAGAATTTGACCTTTGACCAGTAGGAGAGAACTTCTAGGTCTCACGCAGAGGAAGGAAGGAGCAACCCCAGCCCTCTACCATTACCTTACTGTCTTCTATTAGTTACTTGCTCAGAGACTTTTGAGTGCACTGAAGTTCACATACACACACACCTGTTTTCATAGAGATACACCCCAAGAGTTCTAGCCACTCTTTAGTTATTCAAGAAGTATTCAAGTATCCATTCATTCATCTATTTCCCCAGCCAGACTCTTGATGAAGTTCCTTTTAGAAAAAAAAATGTCATAGATTGCTTGCTGGCAATTATAAAGCCAGGGTAAGATTGAGCCCAGTTTTATCTGAACTGACCTAGTCTCTGAAATGTAATTATGCCATATTATACGTTTTCTAAATGCTATACATAGAATAAGGTACAGTTTTCCTATGAGGGAAAAACAACCCAATTACAATATAGTAGATAAGGAAGATCCAAACTAAAGAGAGAAAAACTAAGAATCTTCTTCAGCTGAAAGGTATTAAATTTTTTTTAATAGATTCTATTCAGTAAGGTGTAAAATAAAACCAAACAATCAGTAAAATTAAATTTACACCATATGTCTCTCCTAACAATGATTTTGAGTAAACTACTATTTTCTGCTAGTCTTTACTATCTAAGTCTCAGAAAAGACAAGTATTTTTTGAGAGCAAAGCTACAAATTACTTCCAGTGAGAAAAATTGGAAATGAATAAAACAGAATTGCAAATGTTGATCCAGCATATTTCTAGGCAAATATATCACTGACAGTCAAATCCCAGATAATGACAGTCAAAAATTCCATACAAAAATAAAACACGCTAGGAACCCATACACACGTATTTGCTTTTGCACTCTGAAAGTGTGAGCTACTGTAGAAACTTCAAACTCAGATTCCCTCCTAAAATGAGAGCCATTTTCTGCTTTTAAAAAACCCCAAAAAACAAAAAAAACTCTCCTCCCAAAACTCCCGTGAAGCAAAGAACCCAGATAGTTTCATCTAAAATTATCTTCCCTGCCAATGAATTGTTTCCATGCAGAAAGGAAAAGTTACAGATGGTTAGAACAGGGTGACAGCACAAGGAATTCACATACTTTCCTTTACACAATAGTGTTGCCGGCTAAAACCTAACTTTCAAAAAAATCTCTCTGCCCGGCTGAAAATCAGATTTTGAAGGAAGCTGGGAAAGCCCAGATCAGAACTCCACACCAAATATTTATGTGATCCAGTTCTAACGTGTTCACATGCACACGTCAAAAACTAGGAGCGCCTGCAAAGAAACAGCAGGCAGGCAGCTAGCTCAGAGAGTGGAGAGAGGGTGCAAGAACTCAGTGGTAACCTACCTCTCTTGTCTGTTTCACAAACTGGCAGATGACAATCCTCCACGATCCTGGGGTGCGTAGACGCTCTGAAGGAGGCGGCCACTGGGCCCGCTAAGGGCGAACAGGCCCAGCCCGTGCTCAGAAGCTGCCCCCGTCAGATTTTCCAACTGCAGAACTGCAGCCAAGTCCCTGCCCATGCCTGAAGAATTTCCTGAACAGCATTCCCGTTCTTTTTCTGACTGCTTTGAAACCGTACTCTGCATGTACTTCAATAAGGCTTTGTCAGGCCGCCTCGCAGCTACTGGGCTGTCTCCAGCTATCAATGGGAAACACATGTGTCAAATGCAGGCTCACTCCCCTGCAACAGTGCTCATGGCGTCCTCGGGGCTCCCGCTCACAACTAGAGAGGAAACTGCATCTAGAACCAACTCGGATTTTTCAGCCATTCTCCGCGCAGGCTCTGCTCTGTGGTGCTAGATGTGAGAGACAAGTCCTTGCACTCAACGCCGCCCCTTTTTAACTTGCTCCTTACACTGGAGTCCCCAGCTGACCCCCGTCAGCCCCCTGAGCTCTTGCTGGTCCTGATAACAAGCTTATTACAGCTGAGAGACGTGAATTCTAATTTGATCTCCCTACCTGCCGTTTCCTAAGTCTTTGCTCGAAATTTCAATTGCTGGAGGGAGAACAATATTTTTAGCATTTCCAGACAGGTTCAGTTCTTCAGAGTTGTCCCCGCAACCTGATGTGTACCTCTTTCAATATGTTACAGGCTGGTGCAATGTGTGTTACGGTTATGGGAAACAGAAAGGAGAAAAGAATGTATCTTGAATCAGAATGCATCCTAATTCTGAGCACCTGTGATTATTCCTGGATGACACTCCTTCAAGATGTCCTGTATACATTCTGTGGGATTTTGTGATCTATCTTTGACATTTCCTCCTTCTATAAAACAAGAGGAAATCTCAAAACGTAGGTGGAGGATACCCCATTTTTTACACTGAAAAACCCCATATCTGAAGAGCCATAGCTAAGTTGTCAAGGTAACATTATACAAAAGCGACCATTTAACAAGAGAGCGGTGTTTGTTTTCAACTGTTTGTTTTTCCTTTTTTGTTATTTTTGGTATTAACATTTTACTTCCCCCGAATCACACCCCATTAGTAGTTTATTCTAAAGTACTGGCTTGCCAGATTTTAAGTGTTGTGGGTTCCTGGGGGGCTGTTGTCAATAATAGGATTCAGTGGGGCCTTGGGTTTCCCATCAAATTACAATGGGCACTTTCAACAGGATTAGATTTTTGCCTGGAAGCTGTGCGTGTGTGTGTGTGTGTGTGTGTGTGTGTCTGTGTGTGTGTGTGTAAGGGTGAGTGTGCACATCTAAGGTCAGACTGCAATTACAGAATCAGAGAACTTTAGAGTTGGAAAAAGCCCCAGAGACCACCCATTCCAAATTGTTTCTACCTTTCATTCTACACCAGGAAGTGGAGGCCCAGACAGATGAGCTGACTTGGCCAGCATTACCAAGACCATCAATGCCACAGTGGAGGCTAGAAAGTAGGAATGGTGCTCTCCTTTACTGTGTACTTTCCCTAGGTCTAATCTTAGCTCCGTGATTTATTGGCTATAAACCCTGGTTAGCTTGCTTAATCTCTCTGGACCTGTTTCCTCATCTCATGAAATGGGAACAACAATCAAATCTAACTCCAGAATTGTTGAGGCTTCAGTGAAATAATCCATGTAAAGTGTTTATGACAGTGCCTATAAATAAATTTCAGTTTCTTTTTTTTTTTAATGGAGCAATACCAGACCTTTTCTCTAGTCTAAAAGTAAAAATGTCCTCTCACATCTAGCCTGAGCTCTGGAATAAACTATTTGAGTGGCTAGTTAAGTTTTCTGCTACCTTAACTTTATATAATAGGGGCCTATCACCTTAAACTCAGAGATTGTCCTAAAGCCTTATTGGAACATTAAGCCAGCCACACTGCTGCTTTCTCCATTTATTCCCAAAACACAAGGCTGAAATCTTTCCTCAAGATTAACTCACAAGAAAAGAAAACAGTGAGATCAAATCTGCAGTCAGTTACATGAGACTGAACAAAGTACCTTTCGTAGAGAACCGGACTTCCTCTTTATACCTTAAGAGCTCAAAATTACCATTCTAAAATTAGAAGACTCTTTACAACTGCAGTTTCCATATTTGGAAATGGCAACATCCTAAATGAACAATGACAACAATGGCAAAATAAAATCCCCCAATCTGAGGATGAAATCTCTTTGAGACAAATTCTAAAGAATTAGATTTCTACCTGGGGTTTCACAGCCTTGGTCGTAGAGTTAATCATAGCAAGTGGTTAATGAACTACTTACTGCTTATTAATCATGTTTGGTGTGCCTGGCTTCCTTCAAAGACACAAAAGAAGAGAAGTCGAATAAGTTCATTTTGAGTGGTTTACAAATGTTTTGGTAATCAATTAAAAAAAAAACACACACACACACTGGAAAAACCCAAGCTCAGACTTCGACATAGGAAGAACAATGGTGACAGGTACAGATGACTCTGCCCAGTAGCTCCCCAAAGACTTGCTACTCATCCCCTTCGAATATGAGGTATCCGGAGATAGAGCTCTGACCTGGAGACCTAGCTTCACTATTACTAGCCAGAAAATCCTGAAAAACTACTCAGTTCAATGTCAAGAAACATCATCCAAAACTTGAAAAACAAGACCAAAACATAATCCTAGTTTTTCAGCATCATATATGGGAATTGTCTAACTGATCCCTTCAAGAAGTATGTAAAGGCGATGTGCTTTGTTGAACTTATGCTTTGCTATTGAATAAAGTTTCCAGACTTAGTCCTGGTATATGTTAACCTAGAGACTTTTATCTGAGAAAGATACAAATAATTTCTCTCCAGTGGAAAAAAATAACCTCAAATATGATGATGGTTTTTTTCCTCTAGGACATTACCAGTTCTGTATCTAATGTAGCAATCTCTGCTAACATTCCTATTAATGTACCTAGAAATACTGAGCTCTTCAAACGCTCTTGGAATCTTACCATCATAGCATTTCCCTCACTAATTAATGAGACAATTACAATATTCAACAAATTTTCATTTCATATTTGTAGGTCATGTTTTTTAAGTTTTGAAAAATTAGAGTTTGACACTATTTCATTCTCTTCATCTCTATGAGTGTTATGAATAATATGTGAGATAATGTATAGTAAAGTACTCAGCAAAATCTATGGCACCTAGTAAATGCTCAAACTTTGTAAGCCATGATCATATTTAATGCTATAGTTTGTATGTGGTTTTCAGTTTTGCAAAGGACTCTAGAGATCACTCATCATCCTCCTTCTAATTAAACCTTTTTTATCCTTACCATTCAATTATTGAATCTACTCTACAATGACCAACCTTCCTGGAATTCTATAGATGCTGACCTCTTTGCTTATCAGAGATGTCTGCTTTTAATGTCCTAAAGTTACAACTGAAATGTGTCTGCCTAGAACATATACAAATTCTGACTGCTAATCACAAAGCTTGGTGAAAAATTCTGATCTTAAGGATCACGTGAACCAGAAAACTTCATTCTTCACTTGAGTGTAAATTACACGAGGGCAAGGATTTTTGTCTACATTATTTTCTGCCATTTTCCCAATGCCTAGGACTAGTGCATAGTAGGCTTTCATTTTTATTAGTTGAATAAATATCAGAGATTTCTGTATCATCCTTTTTAAAAGATAATTTTGACTATAGTTTACACATATCTGGTACTATTTGGATCATTTTCCCCCATTATGGTTTAGATTCCTTTTGATGCCAGGTTTGCTTTTTTTTTTTTTTTTTTACATTGCTATCTCCGAATGCTTTTTATTTTTTTATTTATTGATAATTTCTGCTTTTTTTTTTTTGAGTTGGAGTCTCACTCCATCGTCAAGGCTGGAGTACAGTGGCATGCTCACAGCCACCCCAGAGTCGACCTGTTGGGCTCCAGCAATCCTCTTGCCTCAGGCTTCCAAGTAGCCAGAACTACAGACGCGCGCTACCATGCCAGACTAATTTTCAATTTATTGTAGAGATGAGGTCTCAACATGTTGCCTGGGCTGGTCTCAAACCCAGCTCAGGCGATTCTCTCACCTCGGCCTCCCAAAGTGCTGGAATTACAGGCTTGAGCCAGCAGACTCAGTCAATTTTTGCTTTTTATTTCAATAGCTTAAGATGGTAGAAACAGGTTTTAGTTACATGGATGCATTGTATAGTGGCAAAAAAGTCTGGGTTTTAGGTGTGCCCATCGCCCCTACCTATGAATATTATACCCAATAGGTGATATTTCATCCCTCTACGCTTTCCACCATCTCCCATTCTGAGTCTTTAATGTGGTTTTCCTTCTTTGTGGAGTATTTCAGTTTGGTTAATTTCTTCCTTGAATGTCATGTTGAGAAGTAGATAAACTTTCCAGGTGTGCTGGGTCTACACAGAGGGAGGAGAAACAACCCCTGCTCTCATTCAGGAAATATACCTCTATTGATGTAATCCGTGAAAATATTAGGTTTGGGGTAATGACCTTGAGTCATACTGAATCATACTGAGTCACGCTGGGACCACTCTAGGACAGGTGCTTCTACCAAGCCACATCTGCAACATTTGTATCTGTGGTTCTCAAGCCTGGCTTTATGTTAGAATCATGGGTGGGGGGAGCTTTTTAAATCACAAGAGGCATAGTCTCCCCCACCCCGCCCTGAAGAGGTTTTGATTCTATTGGAATGGGATGGCAAACAGGCAACAGTATTTTTTTAAACCCCTTGGATAATTCTAATATGAGCCAGATTTAAGAATGGCTGAGTTACAGAATCTTTTAAGACATAAGCCTAATTGTGCCACTCTGTGAACTAAAATCCTTACAGGGCTTAGGACTGCCTAAAGGAAAAGGCAGCACCCCCCACTGGGACTCCAAAGGCCGGTCTTGAACTGGTCCCTTGCCCAGCTTTTCAGCTATTTCTGCCACCATTGCCCCCTTCTTCCAATTCTTCAACTAAATCATATATCTTTCCACTTGAAG